TGAGAAGGACCCACTAAAGGAGCACTCAACTAGGGCAGCAAGCACAACCTTTTCAGAAAGGCAGGGTCTCTATTCAAAGGCAATTATGGAAGCAGCGAATTGGGCACCAAATGGTACCACCTTTGAGAAGTTTTATTACAATGGTCCACTGGAGCAATCGTTCCAAGACTCGGTGCTTTTTCCAGAACAGGGGTGTTCAAGAAAGCATAGTAATTACTATGAGCAGTGTAATATAAATGTTATGTATTCCTAGGCAACTTGTTGTCGAAGTAAAATATTCATTATATTCAACTGCGAATATCATTTAAGTCACGGGTGCCACCTCGGCCCCGTGGATTGAAGGCGAACTGATAACCGTTTGATGCAACTGTTCATTTGAACCGTAGCGTCCGAGGACACTACTCTCTAGCTCACACTAGGGTTACACTCCTCTTCTTCACAATAGCCGGCCCTTATATACGCGGCTCAAAGGGGCGTGACGGAAGTGCTCGCTATTGTCCGTTTCAGATTTGCTGACGATCACACGCGCGGGAAACTAAGCGACGATCGGCCGTGCGCCCGCGTGGCATATCGATTGAATCGGCTCACGTCCCTAGAAACTGAGAGTGATAAAGGATGAATAAAGAACGAAGTCTGACAGTAAGTCTACAATTCATCAACGACTACATCTGACATGCCCCGCCACAACAAAGAGTCGTCCCGACTCTATGCCCGCGACTCCTCTGACGACTTAGTGGCATTTTCCCCCGAACTTACCTCTCCTTTCTCTCTCTGCTCTTGCGCGGAACTATATCCTTCATGAGCCTGAGTCCAGCGCCCTTCCGATGGACGGCTGGTCTGCTTAAAACGCAGGCCACCAGTGCGTTTCCAATTTCGTAATGACAATCAAGGCTTTGAGCCTATATTCTTCTGAAGGCTGTTTCGCTCGTGTCCCCCACCCATTCCTGAATCTGATGGCCAGCCTCTTGAGGCACGTAATCCCAGCGATAGCCGAATGGTCCATCGGCTATCAGCGTCCTGAAACAAACCACCTTTTTGGAGACAGAGTTTCCGGAGTCAGCTTTTTTCCTGGGTCTCCCTCTTTTCCTCCGTGTTGTGGTTGTCCTGAGGGTTTCCGACATTCCCGCTGGTAACTTTACCAGCATGTCAAAAGGTACTCTAACCGGGTCTCGAAACCCTTCTATCCAGGTTATGAGGGCGCTGTTCTCACTCAGTTCAATCACGCGATAAGGCCCATCCCACGGGTTTACGAGCTTTGGGTGACAGGACGCCTGCTTCTCCCTGGGGGCCTTCATGTACACTCGTCACCGACACTCGTGGTCCATCGTAGCATGCCTGCCTGTTTACGATCATATCGCGACGTTTCATCCTCCCCGCCGCATACTTATCAGACTCCTCGCCTACTCACGAGCTAGTTTCGGGCTGCTGTTATCCCTGCGCGTAGCCATCCAGATCCACCACATACTTGCTAGGTTCTTCACGCGGCACTGCGTTCCACGGAATATAAGGATCAAATCCGTGCAGCAAGTAGAAAGGCGACTCTCCCGTTGTCTCATGCGCTACTGTGTTGTACGCCAGCACGCAATACGGGAGCATTCTATCCCACTCGGTGGGTACAGAGACCTTTTTCCTCAGCATCTGAATGAGCGTCTGATTGAATTCTTTCAGTCAGACCAAGCGGGGTCAGACCATTCTCTCTGGGATTGTACCCTTTCGTGAAAACGTGGTCTATACCCATCAGTGTTTTGAGCTCTTGCATCAGTCGGTTATCGAACTCGCCTCCCTGATCAGATAGGATGCATTTTGGGTGACGACTTCCCTCAGCGATCATTATGCAAAGAATACCCTGGCAACGCACTGCGTTGCACTTCTGAGGGATAGCGTATGCACCTGCATACTTTGAAAAGTGATCCACCACGCTGAGTATGTAGCGATTTCCATCAGTCGTCAGTCCCATCTCCAGAATGTCTATTCCTACCAGTTCGTATGGCTTAGAAGTTACTATTGGCTTTTAGCCGCAGGCCGTCAAATCGATAAGAGTTGTGACAAAGGACACCTCCCGACATTCTTGGGACCATTGAGTCACGTCTCGCTTCATGGTCTCCCAGAACAGACGCTTCGACAGCTGCTTAACCAGCTTTTTCGGGCTAAAATGTCCTGCCAATAGTCCCGCATGTGCCTCTTCAAAGACTGCTCGTCTCTTCGACGACGGCACAACCCTACGAACTGTATCGTTCTCTAGTAAGCCTAGGTAGCCCTTGTCCATAACAAATTCTGCCACTTTGAACTTTTGGGAGATCTTTGGAATGACGATTTCCTCATCCAAATTCCCTGCTTCCAGGCTACCTATTAGTGTCTTGCTATACGTGGATCTTGTCGTAATTCGGTCGTCCACTCGGGCTCTTCCACTGTCGCAGCTACAATGATTTCATTGGTGATCTCCTCACCTTTTACTTCCTCATTCAGGGTAGCACCGCGACTTAACGCATCTGCAACACGATTGGCAGCCCCTTTCAAGTAGACGATCTTGAGATTGTATTTTTGCAGTTCGAGCGCCCACCTGAGTACTCGTGCTGACACGTTTGTTCGTCTGAATAGAGCTGTCAAAGCTTGGTGGTCAGTATACACCTCAACCGGAAGCCCGTACACAAACATGTGAAACTTCCTCAGGGCAAAGACCACAGCCAAAGCTTCCAAGTCGGTGACATGATAGTTCTTCTTCACATCGAGACAGACCCTTCGACGCAAAGAACACTGGATGTAGAAATCCATCGTCGCCTTCCTGACTCAATACAGCTCCCAGACCTTGGATACTTGCGTCAGTATGAATTTTGAACGGTCTTCTACCGCTCCTCGCCGCTTCAATATCAGGTTGCGCTAGCACTGGCGCCTGCATTATTATTGCCTTCAGCTTGTCAAAGCATGACTTCTTCATGGAATCCCATTCAAATGCCACTTTCTCGGACGTCATCTCATGGAGCGGAGCGGCTACCTTAGAGAATCCCAAAACGAACTTCCGGTAGTAAGAACACATACCGAGGAAAGTTCGTAGGTCCGAGCGCGATTGGGGTAGCGGGTACTTTCTAATCGCTTCCACCTTGGCTGGATCCATGTGCAACCCATCACAATCTATTACGTGGCCAAGGAACTCCACTTTCCTTTCCAGCAACACGCATTCCTTTGGGCTCAACCTGAGTCGTGCTTTCAGTAGCTGCTTAAAAACCAGTTCCAACACTTGTAAGTGCCTCTCTACCGTTTCTGTGGCTACCATGATGTCATCCAGGTAGCAGAAGACTTCATCTCCCAGTAGAGGCTCGAGAACCGCATGCATCATGCGTTGAAATACCGGAGGTGAAGATGCGAGCCCGAAAGGTAGTACGCGGAATTGGTACAGACCTTCCGTTGTGGCAAACGCCGATTTCTCTTTTGCATCCTCAGATAGACTTATTTGCCAGTAGCCTGATGACAAATCCAGGGTTGAAAAGTACCTTCGACCCTTTAAACTCTGCAGAATTGTATCAATCGTTGGCAGTGGGTGACTATCTATCCTTGTCACCTGGTTGAGCTTACGATAGTCTACGCAGAGTCGGAGTGTTCCGTCCTTCTTCTGAACCAAGACGATGGGTGAGGCCCAGCTCGATTTACTTGGTTCGATAATCTTTCGCTCATGCAAATCGTGAGAGAATCCGTCGGAGCTCCACGCGAGTAGCCAGTGGTATCGGGCGAGGCTTTTGTCGTATCGGAGGTGCCTCACCGGTGTCGATGTTGTGTTCCACCAGCGTTGTCTGAGTAAGCTCTTGCTCGCTCACCGCAAAGACTTGAGCGTAGCTCTTGACGAGATTATCAACTTCGTCGCTATTCTCCGTGTTTGTCCTGTTGCCGCGGAGCAATTTCAAAAGTCTGTCTTCCCGCCGCCGTAGACTTCCACTGTGCGCCCCAACATGTCTCCCGAATACGTGACAGGCTTGACTTCGACGACTTTCGCGGGTTCGAGGGTTCCCACCTCCTCCCCCAGTCGGAAGATCTTTGCTCCTGCAAAGGTGTTTGTTACCGGCACCTCAACTGCCTTCTCTCCACCTTCCCATACGACATCAGGGAAGTAAGTGGTCCTTAGACAGAAAATTCCTCCGTTGGGTGAGGTCCTTGCATTGTATAGGTACCGATCTTGACTGTCCTAGAGGTATGTGCACCATTTTCTCAACACTCACTGAGAGAGAGAACAGGGTGGTTTACTCCTCCGAGCATACTTGCTTTAGTTTCCGTCGTCTCATTTACCAGAACCTGCTGCGCCTTCCGTGATCGGAGGTAGCGCCACAGACTCTGAGCAGTTTCGCTGAGTGAGGTCATATCCAAGTGGCCGCAGTGCGTTGGTCCCAAGCACCAACACATGGCCGATCTTCCTCCAGCCATGACAAAGGCAGCGATCCGCTGCTTCTTACCGTCGCTCATCTGCAGCGTCAGTCTGATCGCTCCTTTGAAGGACATTCTGTTGCCCGAAGCATCAAATACCTGCTCTTGGACTGATCGACGGAATTTCTTCGATGTCGCATCCAAGTCGCATAGCCGCGACTTCAACTTGCCTGGAGTACTTGCAGTCATATGAATGCTGATAGTGCGAGCAAGTGTCCAAACACGCTTTGCGTTGAAGTGCTAGACAGCATCACTTTCGTGTGGTCGTTTGTTCACCGACCATATTCCGCACTTGTTGTCCGACCTCTACTGCCTTATAATCCATTTCCCCAAGGATGCGGTAAGAATTCTCGCCGGCTCTGCTTGCTGAGCCAATTTAGTAACCTTTTCAGTAACAATAGCGTTCTTCATCGGCATCATCCTTTCTACAACTGTCATTAACCTTCGGAGTCAGTTCGATGTCTGCTGCCGATGGCAGTAACACCGACGGGTCTCCGCTGAGCCGTCGCATCGCTGACATCGAGCTTACTGCTTCCACCCTCCAATGTGTTCACAGTGGTTTGGACTTGCCGAGCTGACTGCGATCAACTTTACGTAATCTGCCGTTCCTGGCTCTTTCGAGCATGACCTTCCATGGCATTACGCATTGCAGCCGCTACTTGCTTACTCCTTTCACATCTTTGTGCCATGGCTTTCACCATGTCATACGCCTGCTCCTTTGGAGCTATCTCCATTGTCGTAAAAAGTTGGAGGTATTCTGGCCAGTCGGTTAGCTGGCTCACCAGTTCACCTGCCCTTGTGCGGGACAGTTCTTCTTCCGATGCGTCTGGATAGGCCTCTCTTGACAGCCTTTCCAGTTCCAGGCAGAATTCTGTTACGCCTCCACGTTTCTTGAGGTGTTTCAGATCCAACACTTCATCTGCATCGCAAATTGTCCACAGCAAGCTTTGCTCGCACAGAGCTTTCTACAAGTTTTCAAAGCCCCTCTCTACGAGCTTCGATAGGGATTTCGCTACCGCTTTTGGATAACCTTGCAGTTTAGAGAGCAACAATTAGGCGAGCAGGTCATTCCGTAACCCAAGGCTCTGGTATTTCATCGTTAACCTCATGATGAATTCATCAAATCCCTTTCCTTGAGGGTCACTATACACCTCCACTTCGGTTAGGGCCATAGCCGCAAATATGGACCCCATAGCATTATAGAAGTGGAAAGACTTCACCTCGCTTCGGTCATACGGAATCGCACGACGGTTGGCCAAGTTCCTGTCCTCGGCCTACTCGTCCGTCCTATTCTTGCTGCAAGAAGGTATTCTCAGTTTTTTCCGCTGAGACTTGCAGGCCTTCTGCCTAACCGAAGGGTCTTACCTTGCGCCGCCGCCACTGGATCGAAATCCAAACGGTACTCCACGTTGTCGAAATCGCTGACATTCAAGTTCATACACTATCGGCGGCGCAAACTTTGTGGTCGCATTCTGCTCCAGCAGGCTGACGAGGCTCCTGCAAAAAAAGAGGATTAGAATGCTTCACGATACCAGCCTTCTCTTTTTCAGGCTTATTTAGTTTTCTCGTCGTCAGTGCTACGTGAGTTTCCCACGCCTTAGCGCTCATAATCACTGAGAGCGCTTCAGACACCACGGCTTTTAGTGCTCGACCTTCGACTTCTAGCTCCTTGAGGTTCTCCAGCTCCCTCTCAATGAGGCTACACTCCTCAATCTATCTTTGAGCTTGCCGTCTGCCCGAGCTTGGTCGAGCTTCGTCGAATTTCTTCGCAACTAATTCAGCCCCCGGCCGGAATTTCACTGCAGACTTTTCAAATGACTTCGCGATAGGCCTCTATTGAACTGTCCGCACTCTGTGTGCCTTACTGTTAGGCTCATGCAACGCTTCTTCAGAAGCAAGTCTAGCGATTTCTTCACTTGCCGACAGCTGATCTGCTGTGGTTTCCTCACTCAGGAGCATCTCCTCCAGTTCGGCTGGACTTAGTCCTGCTTCTTCTGCCATCACACTATCTGCAATAGTTGATGTTCACTCACTCGAATGCGTTTAGACACGCTTCAAACAAATCCGCGAATCCTTCCGCTTACAGTCAGTGTACACCCTTCGACCAACGATGACAGGCTCCGACACGGATTACCACGTGACGGGTCCCTGTTTTTACAGTCAGGAGGTACACTGGCCTATCAGCGGCAGGACTCGCGCCTTAGCCGGTTTTAGCGGCCTAGCAGGCGGATATCCGAATCGATATCGATTCGGTTTGGTTCGGCCCCCAAGTCACGGATGCCACCTCGGCCCCGTGTGTTGAAGGCGAACTGATAACCGTTTGATGCAACTGTTCATTTGAACCGTAGCGTCCGAGGACACTACTCTCTAGCTCACACTAGGGTTACACTCCTCTTCTTCACAATAGCCGGCCCTTACGCGGCTCAAAGGGGCGTGACCGGAAGTGCTCGCTATTGGTCCGTTCAAATTGCTGAGCTCAACCGCGCGGGAACTAAGGCGACGATTGCGTGGCCGTCCCGCGTGGCATATCGATTGAATCGGCTCACGCCCTAGAAACTGAGAGTGATAAAGGATGAATAAAGAACGAACGGAAGAATATACCTAATTTGGCAGTAAAAAGACTACAACATCATGACAATTACACTACCACCCTGTTAGTTAGCTTCCCTTTCCAACCTTCTCCTGTCAAGATATCACCTCGATATTCAGGATCTCCAAGAGGAGCACAGAAAGGGAGAGATTATATGGAGGAGAAATGCAGGAAAGAGAAAGAGAAGAAATGAAAGAAGTCAAATCCTTCGAAAAATTGAAGAAGAAGAAGAAGAAGATGCTTCATCAATCCCCTGTTTTGTTTCTGTCATGACCTCTTATCCATTGTTGCCGATGTCCGATAAAAGCTCACACTTTCGGTTGCCGGGCTCAGTGTTCTTCCGCTCTCAAGGCGAATGGAGTGGTTGGGCCCGCATGGCGTTTGCGCAATCGCCCAGGACGGATCGATTCAGGTTCTGATCTGAAGATCATACCATCTTGAGGGGAGCTCAGCGCCGGCGCGCCAAAGCATCGTAATTGATATTCGCAGCTGAATATAATAATTATTTACTATTTATTTTATTTTACAAGTTGTCCAGGAAAATATCACGTTAATGACGCGTGCAAAAACGTCGGTAGTTGCAAAAATGTCGAGTAAATCACGGCGAGATATTGGCTCAGCCATCCATGATTCCGTCTCATGGACGGCCCATTGTGTGGCCTTCAAGGCTGAAATCAGGATCGTTGACATTTACTGGTGCTTTGAGACACGAGTATACCAGGGCACAGCATTCGATGGGGATTTTGGTCGAGCCTGTACGACCCCCCCCCTTTTTGGGGGTTCGGTACGACCCCCCCTATACCTAAACTTATGAAGTTTCTTCCCCCTCCCCCCCCCCCCGAGGAGGAAGAAACTTCATAAGTTTATGTATAAGTAAGCGCGAAAAATGGAAAAAGTAACAATCCTGAATGAGGCCCCCTCGCTTTTTGCTCATTTCTATCCTAATTCAGAAAAGAGAATAGAAAAGAAAGGCCATTAGGTTTCACCCACCTTCCCTCGAGTCAAAACAAACTCTGGTACCTAAATCAATTGCAATTAAAAGAAAAAAACAGGAAATTAAGCCAATTGC